AAGAAGAAGATAATGACGATAATGAAGAAAATGATGATGATGATGATAATGAGGAAAAAGATATCGGTCTGAATGTGTTGTCGATAGCACCATCATCATCATCACCCCCATCCAATCACCGCCATCATCATCATCATCACCGTCCGATTATCATCATCATCACCGTCCAATTATCATCATCATAATCACCCAATCATTATCGTCATCACCATCCAATCACCATTATCATCATCATCATTATCATCCAATCCCTACCATCGTTATCATAATCATACAATCATATTCATCATCATCATCACTACCGTGACCGTCCAATTATAATCACCATCGTCATCATCATCATCATCAATACTAACTTTGGCACCAGTTCTATGGTGGACATCAATTGCCACGACTACCGAACAGCTGACCAACAGTAGAATGGCTACTAACTTCATTTTTCTACTGGTGATAATGATGATGATAATGGTGAAGCTATTGATGATAATGATGACGATGATAAAGACGATAATGATGGGGATTATGATGGTGATTATGATGATGATGGTGATGCTATTGATGATGATGATGATGGTAACGAAGGTAATGATGATGATTGTTGAAGATGGTGGTGATGCCGGTACAATGATGTCAGATTTTGTGGTTTAGTAATAGTGATGATGATGATGATAATGATGATGATGATGGTGTTAATGATGATGATAGCAATAGTTTACGATAGCAGACGACGACGACGATGATGATGATAATAATAACAATAATAATAATAACAACAACAACAATAATTTACATTTTAATAATAATAATGATAACAACAATAATTTACATTTTTCAAACTATTCGCAATAATTCTGTTGTCAAAATTAAACCTCAAATTAGCACTACTATGAATAAGCATACAATTAAATAAACTACATTATATATATATATATATATATATATATATATATATATAAACTCATAGAAGGAATGATTAAACACATTCATATATGCATACGTATTCGCATTCATTTATTCATTCATTCATTCATTCAATGTGTAATGCGCAATACATACACACACAAACACATACACACACACACACAGACAGACACACACAAACTTATATATATATATATTTATATCTATTTATTTATAATTATTTATTGATATTTTTAATTTGTTTACTGATTTGGGCTACGCTGAGCTAACACTCATTGTACAGCTATTCTGTGATCTTCTATTATAAAGCTCTGGCTTGCTCTGGAATCTGGATGGATTGTTCGTATGCATTCATTTATTTGTGTGTGTGTATGTGTTGTGTGCGTGTATGTGTGAGTTTGCGTGTGTGTTTATTTATTCATTCTATTCATTCATATACAACGTTATTCCATTCATTCATATTAATGTACATAGTTGTATAAGTGTTTGCATGTGTGTGTGTGAATATGTTGCCTGTATGTGTAATTATGTATGCATTTATTTATTGTTTGTGTGTGGAGTGTGTGTGTATGCTGCGTGTATGTGTGTGTGTATTTATTCTATTCATTCATATACATGTGTAATTCTATTCATTAATGTGTGTGTGTTTGTGTATGCGTTTGCGTGTGTGTTTGTGTGTGAGATGTGTGTATGTGTGTAATTGTGTGTCACTTTTGCTTTGATTGAAGATATTTGGATATTTATGCTGCAGTTATGCGTGCATGTCTGCCTGCGTGTTAATTTATTTGTCACGAATGTTATCGATGTATAAACTGGCGACGGCATTGTTCAGCTGGGATGCCTTGGTAGTTGAAAGCCATAGTGACAGGTAAGGAAGACTTGGTAAGATCTTCGATGTATGCGTTACGCACGTGTGTACGCGCGTTCGTTTGATTTCGTTTCGCAACATAACGAGACTATAACGAGTCATTAATTCCTGGTTACTTTTTTTTATGATCGGCGTGTCTGAAATCCGTCTTGAAAATTTTTTTTAACGAATTCGTCGTAAATCGGTAAAGTTTATTCCAAATAATAATAGATGATGAAAAAATTCTTACAAAATGATCCATGTTTATCCATTCCCGGTATGAACGTACCCTGGAGATGAAGGCCACATGGTTGTCAGACATCTCACATTCCAGCCTTACTATCAAAACTTGTAATTATAAAAAATTAATCAAGTTTTTAATGGCGTTTATTTCAATCAATAGCTCATTATTTGATTAATTCTACTTAATAGCGCTACCTCACAGCTAACTGAATCTCATTCATCAGAACGAATATTGCCAGTTCAGTTTGAATGAAACTCATAGAAGCTGAGGAGTTCAATCGTGGGAATTGAACCTTACTACTTGAGATTAACATTGGGGGGAGGGCATTTGCGTCATTATACAACCCTCCACAAATAATTATATTTATTTGTCATATGGTTGAAGTTTAAATAATTTGTAAAAAAATTTCAAAACGTTGATATATTAGTAAATAAATTATCCATAAACAAACTAGAGGTGAGCATGGGAACGGGAATCGTGGAAATCCCATGGGATTCCCTGAGAATTGGTAAGACATAATTTTCGGGAATGGGAATTTTAGAATATAGAGAATCGCTGTTCGGGAATGACGGGTGGGAAGGGAGAAAATGACATCTACGTTCGAAAATAAAAGCCTATATATATATATATATATATATATACAATTATTTATAAAGATCACTGCGTTTTCGGCATTATTCAACTTGTAGTTGAGTTTCTCAATTTCAAAATCAAAATTATGTCTTACTTCAATATAAACAACTGTATTTATGATAGTCTAAATCCTATATATAAATATATATATATATATATATATATATATATATAAATATAAATATATATATATATATATATATTTATATATGTATACTCGTACACATGTGATCAACAAATACACATAGGCACACACGTGTGCGTTAACAAAGAAGATTGCCACCATGAAATCAAGTGAAATCAACCAAGCTTTGAAACATTTCCTGCACAGTCAAGTAGCGGTATTTGGTTAATAATCTCATTTAGTTTTCCACATAGATTTTTCTTTGGGGTTTTGTTGGTCGAGTCTCATTAAACTACAATAGAATTAGTAAATTTAAGTTAGTTATTGAATTTGGCAATATATTCGATATGTCTTCAACTACTTCAACAGTAACCAAAATTGAGTTGCAGCGTTTAATAGATGAGGAAAGTAGCTGGCTATTATCGAAAGATAACTAAGGAAAGTCTTATATAGCCTTTTTTGTGTGTTTTTTTTGTTTGTGTAAAATAGGCTTTCAACAAACATTGATGTTTAAATAACAATTGTCCTTCTGACTATGTGATTGACTTATGCTTATTTTTATTCCTCGAATGACTAATTGTGTCTGAAACAAACTGAAATCTAATTTATTTACATATTATTTATTTAAATGTTTTCTTAATTAATGCAGTGCACTATTTCGACCAAATGTTTAATTTAAATATTAAAGTTTTTTATTTATGTTTCATGAGTTTTATGAGAATTAGTTAAACAAATTAGGGGATGGGAGTTTTTGGGAACTTTGTCATAAATGGGAATTCGAGAGAGAATCGGAAATGAAAAAAAATAGGGAGGAAATTAGGAACAAATTTCAATTTTTGCTCACCTCTAAAACAAACTAATACAATGCATCAAATGATACTCAACTACTGTTAACTGACAAAGACTCAGTAAAATATGAGAAAATGTTAAATATCATCAGTGAATATAGCCTCAGTAAATTTTTAAACACCACACGTTGCTGGCACAATTTGTATAAACATTTTTTAAAAATATTGTTAAACTGCCACTGTTTCAAAATTTTTGTCTCCATTACTTGAAAAATTATAAACTTTTTTTCATTAGGCGGGCAGTTGTCTTATTTTCCCGATAAAATTTTTTCTAAATTAGTTCGGCATGGTGTTTTAAAGAAGGGAGCCAAGTCTTTGTAAGCCCGATATTTGTACCATCTGTTTGATTTGTATGATTTATCTCTATGAACAGTTGGTTGGAGGAGAGCTTGAAACTGTTATCTTCATCGTCCTGGCGGAAATGGAACGATGCAAAATTTTAAACAACATCCACGTTTGCAAAGTTTATAAAATTAAGACTACTGAAAGTCTCAAATTAAAGACTTTTGCATAAGGAGAAAAATATTATGTCAAATACAAATAAAATGTTGTTAATAATATTTGATCAGACTAAACCTTTATGAGTCAAATTTTTTTATATTAATATGTATAACATACTAATTTGTAATAAATTTAATTTAGAAAAATTTTAAAAATTAAAAAATTATGGTTCCTAGTAGTATTAAACGGCCGGTAGTGGTTTTTTTGTGAAGATCCTGGCTTTGTGGAAAGAGCCACAGTCCCAGAGTCATTCTGTAGTAATTTTATCATTTGACCAAAATGGAAAACTGAAGATCAGCCAGTGAGTAGGCCAAATAAAAAAGCAGGATCGACTAATTACACAAAAACTTAACGAAACGATACGAGTCAGCCTGAAAGTGAAACGAAAATTTTTCTCTAAATGGAGAAATATGGGATAACGAACGACACTGTCTAAACGTCTAGAAACTTTTAATTGCGATGATCCGAGGTTGTCTATTGAAAGTTTTTTTTCTTAGATATCTCATTAGAGGATTGGTTCAAATGTCTCATAAAATTTTTATGTGTATGAATTTTAAATTGCAATACGTGTTGTTTTGATGCTCTCCTACTTTTTTTTCTATCTCTCTATGCATATATTAACATAATGAAATGTTTCCATTTAAAATAAGTTGGTAAAATCTAGAGATGTCTCGTCTTAAAAATTTTGCAGACAATGCCGTTTATGAGAGGCATTGTGCTATTGTTGAAACTCATTCAATAGTTATACTGTTGACACAACTCGCTTGACACGCCAGACACAAAGCATATCTCTCACATACACTTTTCTAACTCAACACAAGAAGGTGTATTATAACTAATTAGGTAACGTAGTGTCAAATTTTGTCTGAAGGAACTATCAAAATGTTAAGTATCATCAAATATATCAGCTGTTTCTTCGTAATTTTGTACAGTGTTGTCAAAGAAATCTTTAAAAAAATTGTCCCATCAAAGCCTAAGAACATAAGCGGGAAGGTAGTGCTGATAACCGGGGCAGGTGGGGGTATTGGAAGGCAACTGGCCCTCAAGTTCGCTGCCCAGAAGACTAAACTGGCCTTACTAGACATTGATAAAGTTTGTTATAAACTATTTTGATGTATTGAATTCTTAATTGCGTTTAAACTGCATTAACGTATACAATTCATTTCCATCGGGGTTAACAACATTTAAGTGAGAACAGTTGAAGAAAATAAATTAATAAATTACTTTGACGCAACGAAAATGAAATATAAAAAGCATTTAACGCACAGAACTCATATCTTTTGAAAGTTATCAAAGTTTACAAGTAGAAAAAAATTAATTACATCAATAAATTGACTACTCGCTCGATTCAATTGTAAAATAAAACACCTTCAACGTAACTGCAGGCGACATGTGACGAGACGGCCAGCCAGGTGTCGGCCCTGAATGCCCCCTGCCACTCGTACGTGTGTGACGTTTCCAAGAAGGAGAATGTGGCGAGGGTGGCTCAGATGGTTCGCAGGGATCTGGGGGAGGTAGACATCCTTGTTAACAACGCCGGAGTCATCAACTATAAGAACTTCAGGAACCAGACTGAGGAAGATATCAAAAGAATTGTCAACGTCAATTTGATGGCCATGTTTTGGGTTGGTAGATATTTGAAAAAAAATATTCATCAGAACAATTTTTTAAAAAGCAATTTTTAAATGGTTTGCCGCTAAAAATGTCATTCTCGTAACAGACAATCCAAGAGTTCCTGCCAGAGATGTACAGAAGAAATGATGGGCACATTGTTAATGTGTCTTCAGTGGCGGGCTGCATAGGCATTGGAAACATGGAAGATTATACGTTAGTGAGCTGCTGTCGCTAGTGTGTTGCTGTCGCTAGCGTTCTGTCGCTGGTGTCCTGCATACACTTATATACATAACCTTATCTTTAATTAGTTTACTAAAAGGATAGTTAACATTTTGTTTGCCAATTTTTTAGCGGAATGAGATTGACAATGAATTAAGCTATGTAAATTATTTCAAATAACCAACATTAGTTGATACACAGAACGATTTGAATGTTTTTAATTCGTTTAAATTAATTACACATTATAAACAGAGTAAAATTTGTATAAATTATATATAAACAAAAAATGCGAAATTAACACTTTAAAAGACCGTGTATATAAAACCGACAAACAAAAGTTATTAAAGACTTCTTAAACCACGCAGAGCCACAAAGTATGCAGTGAGGGGCTTGTCCGAAGCCCTGGCACACGAGTTCAGCCACAAAATGACCAACCTGCACGTCTCCATCGTGTACCCAACTGGCGTTGACACCCCCTTGGTCCATAGGTGCATTCCCGATAAAGACATGTTAGTAAAAATGATTGTCTCAACACTGTGCAGTCTACAACATATAAAATATATACACATTTTAAAAGCGGTTCGTGGCTTGAACGTTGTTGATAAGTTGTAAAAGTTTAACGCAAGGTATGGTGATCTGGGTAATAATTCCCTATTATTATTTTCATTTTGGCTCTTGTTTGGATGCACGAGTGTCTGGATCCGCAAAGATGTAAAATAAAATATAGATATCACCGAGATTTATATTCCTTCCTTGGTTTAACGACCTCTAATTAATTAATTAATCAATCAATTAATTAAATCTTTCAAGAAAGTTTATGTTCATGTCTCCCGAGAAAGCCGCGCAGATAATACTGGACGGTGTGCTGACCAACAAGTTACACATCTTTGTGCCCAGCCACCTCTGGTTGGTAGCGGCACTGAACAAGTTAGTTCAGCAACAAATTCAACACGCAGCATTTGTTTCCATCTAATCATTCCGTGTTTGATGATGGGTGAAAGTCTCATGAAGGTTAATTTTTTGGAATTAGATTTGTTTCTTTTTTGAACGATTAAATTGTTAATTGATCATTTAAAAACCAAAATTCCTCTTCCCAGTTTTCTACCCGACAAGACGAGAGGACTAATAAGGAGCTCGAATGAGACCACGGTCAATTTTGACGAGTAACAAAACGGTAAGATAAATTACGACCGATGGAACGAAATAAAAGATTAGCCTGAAGATAGAAACGCCATTGTACACATTGGCTGTCATTAAGCCATACAATGTTGATAGTTTGAAAGTAAAACCTTAAGTGTGTTAGGTATATTTTTCCAATTAATTTTATAGGTGGACCTAACGCTTCTAGGTGTTCAGTTATTTTTCCAATTTCTGACAAAATGTTTTTACTTTTGTTTTCATTTTACACACACATCCAACGCATGTTCATATGAAATTCCTTTATAACGGAATAGAGAAACAAATGAACTTAACACACAATCAAACACATTTTCATATGAAATTCCTATACACTGGAATAGAGAAAAGAAACTTGATTCACACACACACACGCGCGCGCGCGCACACACACATACATACACACACACAACACGAACACACACACAAGCGTACTTAATTTCCCTAATACTTTCATATGAAGTTCCTATATACTGAAATTGAGAAAAAAACATGACACACACACGACCTCTCTCTCTCTCTCTCTCTCACACACACACACACACACGCACACAAGCAATCAATCTTACATCTTCGTATGAAATTCTTGTTATATTGGAATGGAGAAACAAAACGAACAAATATTATTTGCTTTAAAAAAAATCGTTTATAATTGGATGCATTTGGCTCGTATCATTAATGCTTTTTTTAATGTGTGTGTGAGTGTGTGTGAGTGGGGTGTGTGCATGTGTGTGGATTTCTTGATGTTAACGTTGTTAGTATCTAGAATTCCATGATATATATTTCTTGCATACATCAAGCGCCTCTTACTAAACGGTTTTTTTTAAAGGCACGTTTGGCAATGCAATCATCCAACATACATCGTAAGGTATGAGTGAACTCAAGTTGTTGAATTACATAGCAGTTTACAAATCTAAACTTTACAATATCGTCTTACAAGGCTACAAGCTCATAGTGTAGACATCAATTATTTGACGAGAATGGAGCATTTTGTTGCTCAATTCACGACTAACACTCCGATTCATTCAATTGAATTCAATCAATCAATCTTCGTTTAGCGACCCAGTTCCCCGAGGTAGGACGTTGTTTTCTTTGCCATCAATTTTTTTTTGATCATTTAAAAAAAATGTACCTGACTTCTCTTTGAACAATTTGATGAGATGACAAGGAGTCTTAAGTATGTAACGACGAAGTAACGACTGACAGCGTACACGCAGGTAAATACAGTCCTGGCCAAAATCGTTTCACATTTTGCCACCCATATTCGATTCACATTTTGCCACGTATGTATAATTTTCCATTTAGAGATACCGTCATATACAGTTTCAACAATGAATAATAGTGATATAATACAATACAATACAACACAACACAATACAATGCAATACAATACAATACAATACAATACAATACAATACAATGCTGTAAAATACAATACAATATACAATACAATGCAATGCAATACAATACAATGCAATACAATGCAATACAATGCAATACAATACAATGCAATACAATGCAATATAACACAACACAATACAATGCAATGCAATAAAATACAATACAATACAATGCAATAAAATACAATATAATACAATACAATACAATGAATGAATGGGCGATGCTAATGTTGTGTAATAATACTATATTTTGATAGTATTCAGTGGTGAAAAATGTAGAAACAACAGTTGAAAGTAAAAACTTTTCTTGTGGTGTTACAGCATTTTTAATCGCACGCAATTGGCAAAAAATTCAATTCAACTTGGCAGATAAGTTAAAGTTAATAAAATGATGAAACAACATTTAAATATATCAAGATAGAAACAAATAAATAAAGTATCGAAATAAATATAAAATAAATATAATAAATCAAAATAAATGAGCGACTGAGGGAATGAATGAAAGAATAAATGGATAGATACACGAATGAATGTAGATAGAAAATATGTAGATGGATGGATGGATGGATGGATGGATGGATGGATGGATGGATGGATGGATGGATGGATGGATGGATGGATAGATAGCTAGATAGATAGATAGATAAATAGATAGATAGAGAAAATAATAAAAACTAAATTGGACCATCAGGATAGCTCCCAGTTCCTCATATCATTATAAAGATTAAACGCGTGACTCGATCCGACAGTCCGTAACTTTACCTTGTAGACATTCTTCAAGCATTGATCGAGGCAGAACTGGCTGTGTGGCTCGCTGGTGGACATGTCTGGGTGGTGGAAGTCCCTGATGTCAGGTACTTTCGAGACCATCTCCTACGTTGGTTAGGGGGTGATTAACGAGGCACACAAACGTACAATCGTACAACAAACAAACAAACATACAACGACAAATTAAACATACGTACAAACATTACAATATACAACAACAAACAAACAGGATACAAACATACAATAAAATACAAACATACAAAAACAACAAACATACGACAACAAACAGACAAGATACAAATATACAATAAAATACAAACATACAAAAACAACAAACATACAACAACAAACTGACAAGTTGAAACGATATACCAAATGCATGATAAACAACAAAAACATACAAACAAAATACAAACATACAACAAAACACAAGCATACAAAATACAAAACAATACGCGAACCTTTAGTGACACTGGCTTTTCCCGTTTCACCTTTTTCAACCTGTCCTCGACCTCCTTATCGAGGAGTTCCTTCTCGCAGAAATTGATGTCTGTTAAGTTGGTGAAGTTTATGTTCTCTTTAAAGTTCAGCATCGAGATGGCCTAAGAAAAACATACAAAAAGAATTCTATAACCTTTAATAATAACATCTAGTTTAATGGTTAGTGTAATGGTTAAGGCGCTTGGCCCTACTATCAAACAGTCTGGGTTAAAATGCAAACAGACCTCCACACATCTTGAAATAAATAAAAAAAATAATTAAAAATAAACTAAAAAAATGAAATGACTTTTTTATTGATGTTAGCCTGCATTTCGTCATCAGCAAACTTCCCTCTACTGAAATGCTCGTGAATGTACTTTGCCGATTTTAAGGTTTCCAGCTGCCGTTGGAGGCGTATCGTTGAATTCATCCGCGGCTTATCCAACGTCTGTTCCACGTTATTACTATTATTTATACTATTATCACTATTTATATAATTATTGTTATTTATATTATTATTATTATTATTGATTTTATCATGATTATTATTGTTGTTATTATTATTATTCTTATTATTATTAATTTTATTATGATTATTATTGTTATTATTATTGTTAATATCATTAATAATATTATTATTATTATTGCAGACAGTACTACTTCTAGTCATTTTGCTATAATGTTGTTGATCCCTTTTCAGTTGATCGTCGATATAACTACCACTACTACCACCAGCACCACTACCACTACTACCACCAGCACCAACAACAACTCCACCACCAACACAACTACCGCCGCCACCACCTTCACCAAAGTTATCACCATTGCCATCATCATCATCATCATCGTCGTCGTCATCATTATCGAGAATGAGTGTTGCCAAATTCCTTCGGCCATACTTAGAATGGTCATAATTATTATTACCATTAGAAGCAAAATTTTCTGTTACACCACCACCAACTTCACCACCGTTACCAACATCATCATCATCATTTTTATCTTCAGTAACATCATTATCATCATCATTATTATTATTATTATTATTATTATTATCATTATTATTATCATCATTATTACCATCATCAACCTGCTTGTTGTTACTCATATCATCACCATCCTCATCATCACCATCCTCATCATCATCATCACCCGCAGCAACATTGTGATATATAGCACTATCATCATTATAATTAATATTTCTTCTTGCAATAGCATCACCACCATCATTGCATACATTTTTATCATCATCATTATTATCATTATTATTATTATTATTATTATTATCATCATTATTATTATTATTATTATTATTATTATTATTATCATCATTATTATCATCATTATTATTACGGAAGCTGATGTAATCATCATGACCATCATCGTTATCATTATAAACATCGCGAGCTTCGGAGCCTGTGGACTGGTTGACAAGCTGGCAGTAGCTCTTTACAATGCTATAAGACAATTCATCCTCACCATCTTCATCACCATCTTCATCGCCATATTTACCACCATTACCAGCATCACCACTGTCATTTTTGGGATTGATTTTCAGTTTTTTGGTGTCGCTGTCATCCTTAAGGTTACCATTAGTTCCATCGCAGTCGTCGTTCCATGTGTTCTCATCATTGTATGAAAAATGGCTGAAATCTGCAATGCCACCACCATCATATCTAGTATCATCATTATCAATGTCGTAATCAACGTCATCATCACCACCATCATCATTGTAATCATATTTAGTTTCGAGTTCGTTGATTCTCATGGCCAAATACCTTATATCACTTCTTAGGTCATAATTGAAATCCCTAACATAATCATTATCATCATCAACAGCGTCATCTTCATCGTCGTCATCGTTGGATAAGTTTAATCGTAGATTGGAGTCTAAAGGTAATAGGTTGTCATCATCAATGGTACTGGTCGTTCGATCGGGTGAAAAATGGTGCACTGCTACATCTTTGCTGAATTGAACTTTTGTTTCTTTGCAGTTGATTTCTAGAATGATCATTTCGTAAAAAGTTATCTTGAATCAATATTTGCTACAGATTTATAGGTTCCATTTTAAATGGAAGATTCTCAAAAAAATATTAACCAACATTTAATGCACCATAAAATTTTTAACGACTATTTCCTATTGCTCTTTCTAAGCAACAACAACAGCAGCCACAGCAACTACTACTACTACTACTACCACTACTACTAAGCAACTATCAGCAGTACTAGTAGTAGTAGTAGTAGCAATAGTACTAATGTTCCTTTTACTATATTCTACTATCTATTCATTACCCTAGGCTGAGTTCAACTTTAATTTGAAAGTACATGATTAATTAACAATTAACACTAACTTAACTTAACAAACAGCAACACTAATTCTTATTATTTTGTCCTTATTTAATTTACAGTTTACACAAAGAATTTACATTTGTAAATGAAAAAATTGAAATAATTAATTGAAATTCATAATTATCAAATGCTAGCCATCTAGCGAGTCGCAGGAAACATCTTTCAGTTTTTCTGTCATAGCCGACCTACGCATCATAGATTGAACCAGCTGCTGAGAATTCAAATTTAAATCCGAAGGGCTGTTTTGTGGAGAGATATCACAATTTAGTAGAGCGCGCGGATTATAACTGAAACCAAATTTTGTCACTTTGTTCATAATTAGGAAATAAAATAATCTCTTTTATTTTCATTTAATTTAACTAAGCTATATTCTGAAATGTAACTTAGCAACAATAAAAGTTTTCGCGAAAATCGATCAGTTTTTAATGTTATTGCATTCACTTGTACTATGGAAAGCCATTTTGTTTTAAAATTGTTAATTTAAAATTGATTTTATAACATATTTTAAATATTTTATATATATATATATATATATATATATATATATATATATTCAAAAACAATATTTAACTTTATAACTCATGTTAAAAAATAGCTAAACATGTTCAATTAATTTCATTATTTATCTATGAAAACAAAAAACATGCTGTCTATTTCAAGGGGAGGCCTATTTACCAGCATACAACACCTTCTTATGGGTTGAAACAGGGATATGCAAAGAACCTCAATTTTTTCAACTTTTAATTATTGTCAGTAATGTCTCTTCTTGCTCCAAACCACATAACTAGAATAATAGGACTAATCGATCAATTCGATCTATCGGTCGGGCTATTTGTCGTGCTTGGATTGTTGGCTTACGAAATTGCATGGATTTTAACGGGCAAGCTAAATGAAATATTTACTTGATTTAATATGCTTAAAACATTGTAGTAATTCTATTTAATTTTAATAATGATTAATAGAATTATGTATTATTAAATTATTTTTGTTAATTTGAATATTAAAAATTGCTTTTGGTCCGGTGAAATCCGGTGGCTTACTGAAGCCGAAGGTTGGCTTAGTAGGATTGAACTATAGTCACCCTTTTTTTTTACACTAGGTATTCGATCATGTTAAAAATTGGTTTGCTTATAAAATAAACAGCCTAAATAAATCAAAATTGTTATTTTACAACTATCTTCATTATATTCAATGAATATTTTACATTCTGCTGGTGCTCATAAGAAACTGGCTGCTGAAATCATACGTTGGCTTACAGCAGTGGCTTACAGGGTTTCATAGAACTCTTACGATAGCACTTTTTTGTACATATAATGCTTTAAATAAATCAATATATTCATATCACAATTATTTTTGTCAGTATAAATATAGAAATTGCTTTTGTCAGGTGAAAAACAGTGGCTTAATGAAGCCGTAGGTTGGCTTAATCGGATTTTTTCTCATGTATACAATACTATGAGATAAATCAATCAAACAATCAGTCAGTCGGTCGGTCGGTCAGTCAGCCAGCCAACCAGCCAGCCAGCCAGTCAGTCAGTCAGTCTGTTAGTCAATCAATCAACCAACCGATCAATCAACCGATCAATCAATCAACTAAATTGAATGAACCAAATAAACAAAAATAAAAACAAAAATAAATAAAAAAAATTTGCAAGGCCTGTTCAAACTCGAACAAACAGTTAACCGTACAGATCCACAAACAATTTCGAGATTTTAGTAAAGAAAGAAAAACACAGTAGTTGCTTTTATTTGAATTCATTCAAAAATGAAAAGTGACGGTTAATTAAAATTTTAAAATGTCAATTTTTTTTTAAATTCGTAATTTAAATAAACAAATATAACAAAATATCGACCAATAAAAATAATTATTATCCATTATTTTTATTATCATACACACTCCTTAGAAGTTCTCGAAGGATAATAAACCACGTAACATGAACATTTAGTAAGAACAGTTCACAACATATGATAATGACTAAATCAACATACTAAACAGAAATAATTTATACATGCATATATACAAAGTAAATCAAGAAATATCCAAAAATTATATAACCATTTTTTAAAAAAAACTAGAAACCAGTCAACATTTAATGAATAAATAAATAGACATTATTAAAAAGATTGTTCAAAAAGGTACAATTTAAGGCGACGACGAGAATGAAATGTAGTTTGTTTTGTTGGTGTGGTGTTGTGAAGCGAAAACAAACACATCACACAAAACTAGTAAGAAGTCGCAAGAATAATAGTCAGTCACCTACCTATAATAAAATTACTCTCAGGGCCCTAGCTTACTTATAAACATTGACTCAACTCACCTACAAATTTGTATTTCTCGTTTTAGATGTTTCAAGTATTTTATTTAACATATTTTAGCGTTTTTATTTTACTTGAAGCTTTTTAACTAATGTTAAGCCCTAGCCTACTTACAATTGTTTAACTCATCTCAGTCCCTAACTTACCTATGAATTAAATTAAAGCCCGGTTCACGGCAAAGAAAATATAAAGCTGAAGAGAAACATAGCAACAACGACACCGAATGAATGGATGTTGTGTATGTATGTGTTGTATTGATGTGTGTGTATGTAAATGTGCGGGCGCGCACTCTCCAGAAACTTCACTCACTACCGACGAACCTCCATTGCACTGACCATCATCTGACACGCATGGAATTGCGTGTCCGGTTCCTACGTTGTCCTCCAAAACTGGTGCCAGTCCTCCTCGAGATTGTTGTTGAAACACAGCCCCGTGTTGATGGAGAAAGATAGAAAAAGAGTAGATTCTCATCAGAAAGCTTAGCGGTGCCTGCATCTCAAATTGCTTAATAAAAATAATCCTATCTACCTATTCAATTACCTTAACTAATCTATATCAAATTGTTAATGGTACGATAGTCGAAAGTCCCCCTTCATTCTTCCTCCTTGCACAGAGGTTCACCGACAGCCAGGGCACCGGATAGAAAACCATTGCCGTGCGGATAGTAGACTATTGCCGTGCGGATAGTAAACCATTTGCCGTCCAGAAGTCGTGCGGGTAGTAGACTATGGCCGTGCCGCATGGTAAATCATTACCGTGCAGATAGTAAACCATTGCCGTCCGGATAGTAAACCATTGCCGGTACACCACTGGCCACCAAGGCTTACCTCTGACAACAGACTTCGAAATTCAGAGTCTATCGGCTATCGTACCCTCAACTTACCTATTCATTACAATTAAGCCCTAGCTTACCTAAAATTACAAAAAACTCAAGAGCCCAATTCATTTGCCAATCGGCACCCACCCCACCACCTACGTAATGCCTTGGGCTCCAACTTAGTAATAATAATATAAAACTTAAACCCTAAATCTATTAATGAGTGTGTGTTACAACGTAGCCTTAAATTACCTATTCATTACATTATGGCCCTAGCTTACCTAAAATTACAAAACTCAAGAGCCCAATTCATTGGCCTTTCAGCAGAGAAAAAGGAATAAAACAGAACATAAAATACTACCACACAAACAAACATGATGTATGTATGTATGTATGAGCAACCGTTAAAGAACCCACCTAAAATTAAAAAAATACCACCTACAAACATTCAAACCACCTACAAACATGCAAACTCTATATAACTCTATATAACACTATATAACACTATATAACTCTATATAACTCTACATAACTTTATATAACTCTATATGACTCTATATAATAAAATAAATAAAAATAAAAAAATTTTAAAAATAAAATAAATGAGATCAGACAGACTGCTTCAAGCGAGGCAGAATGCTGATCTGATTTTCATGTTGTCTCAGCTCCTCAATTTATACTCGTTTCAACCATACATTCTCATCATTTCAATCATTCGCATCAGTAAAAAACTTGTTTAATGGATATACTGCACTATTATACAGTCTTAACCACAATGCTAACCGTACTAAATTGAAGTCATCGAACGAACGCCTTCGAAACTTTCTGGTTGGCTGGTTGAATCTGCTATATTGCTTTTCATATAACCATAATCTAATATAATATAATTTAATTATTTGTATACATGGATTCCAGTCGCTTCATATATATATATATATATATAATAAAAATTCATTATAAAAGCAACAGTAATCAGTGCTATATATGTAAGCGCGCAGTTCAAATTTTTCGGGAAGAATTCAAAATTGTTTGAGACCACACCTTGCTTAACATCCAATTCCAAGCCGAGCCAGGCCAAGCTGAGCCAATATGCATAGATTTAAAAGTGCTTTTATGTTAATATTTTGCTCGCTATATTTATATATTTTATAAATTCATTATAAAAAACAACAGTAGCCATTACTATATATGTACGCACGCAGTTCAAATTTTTCGGGGAGAATTCAAAATAGTTTGAGACCACACCTTGCTTAACATCCGATTCCAAGCCGAGCCAAGCCAAGCTGAGCCAATATGCAGAGATTTATAAGCGCTTTTATGTTAAAATTTTGCTCGCTATATTTATATATTTTATAAATTCATTATAAAAACAACAGTAATCATTGCTATATATGTACGCACGCAATTCAAATTTTTCGGGGAGAATTCAAAATAGTTTGAGACCACATCTTGCTTAACATCCGATTCCAAATTTTTCGGGGAGAATTCAAAATAGTTTAAGACCACATCTTGCTTAACATCCGATTCCAAGC